TATATATATATGATTTCAAAGCTATTACCCAGCTACATGAGACAGGACATGCTATATTTGCCTTTCTAGATCTGGCTTCCTCACTCAGAATGATTGTGTTGAGTTCCATTGACTTCATAATTCATAATTTTGTATTTTAAGAGCCAAATAATATTTTACTTTGTGTACTATACCTTGATTATCCACTCATCAGTTGATGGACATCTTGGTTGTTTCCAATTTCTATTATGAAAATGGCAGCAATGAATATGGATGAACAGGTATTTCTATAGCAGGGTAGTCTTTGGGGTATACGTCCAAGGGTGGTAGGGCTGGATCATATGGCAGATAAATTTTGATCTTTTTGAGAAATCTCCACACTGATTTCCATAGTGGTTGCTGGTTTGCACTGCCACCAACACTGGATAAGAGTTCACCTTTCTCTATCACCTCACCTGCATATGTCACGAGAATATTTTTGATCTTTTTGAGACAGGGTCTCCCTGTAGCAGCCCCAACTGTCCTGGAACTCACTATGCAAACCAGTCTGGCCTCGATCTCACAGAGATCTGCCTGCCTCTATCGCCACAAGAAATAAAATATGTAATACTGCTAGCATTTCTCTAGTGTTGTACTTTAAACTCAGAATGAAACATTGATCCACCTAGGTTTTCTCAAGTACACATTGGAAAAGTTTTTGAAGTATCTGATCCATCCAATATAATTGAAAATGGCAATAAAAGGTTTCATGTAATTCTCACTTTAAATTTTCTTTAATGGTGCTAGGGCTCAAACCCAGGGGCTTTCCATAGTAGTCAAAGCTCTTTTAAATGAAGAGTATTCCCTAGCCCCAAATACCATTTTTTTAAAAACTGCACAGTGACATTTATTGTTCCAGGCTGAAAAAAAATCCCTTTGAAATTTCACACAGCAAAGCAAGTTAAAAACTTCACTCATCAAATAAATGATAATTTAAACAAGAACTTGCTAAAGAAACCTCATCAAAACAACATTTTAGGGCCTGATTGCTTTAAGTCCAGGGGGCCATTATGAATATCAACCAAGTGTCTCATAATCTGCAAACCGTTTTCCTACAAGAAGGCATAACATGTTTTCTCGACTCAGGTGATACATTGGAAAAGAAATCATGCTTTTTTTTTTTCTTTTGCCCTAACAGGCAGACACAGACTTCTTGTGATCAGGAAAGATGGAAGGACTGCTGCCCTTCTCTTGCTGCTGTCAAGAGTTTGTCCCGCATTATTTCAATGCTCAAGTAGTCCGGCAACTTAAGATAGTTCACACAAGTCATTACAGAGGGTATGAAGTCATCTGGGTTTTTTGTTGATTCAGTTGTCTTCCAAACAATTGTCAGGGGTGGACTGAGACTTCAGAATCCTCCAGCAGGCAATCATGGGCTCCCAGTCACAAACTGGAGAAATAACCGCTGCTGCTCATTATCAAAACTACTGAGAATTTCAAACAAGAACTTCACAGCTGGGCTGTCATGAGAATAACCATGATCAGGCCTGCAGCATTCCATCAATGTCTTTGCATCCCAAGTGTCTGCTTTTCTGCCACACAGGAACTGATCCAATTCTTCTGGGTTGAGGAACTGCAGGTGACTAAGGGGGAAAACTGATTCAAATTCATCTCTGAAAGAATCAAATTGCCCGGAAACACCTTCATTTAGAGCCCAGAATATTACCAGTCTTAGATACTCCTCTGAGTTGTGGCTCATGACTGGTATACCCTTTCCTCCTTTCTTCAGTTCGATGTTGGGAAACCCTGGCAGCGTGAAATCCAATCCTAGGTCTTCAACTGAACAGCCATTCATAGGAAGGGTTTCTAATGCGTACTGTAGGCTCTCTTTCGTCTGCGATTTGTCATGCTCAGTCTTTTCTTCTGTCTTACGATGTCTTCCAGATGAAGTATCACTCCCATGTTGAGCCTTTGTAAACATAGGCAGAGTGTGTCTTCTCACTTATTTGGATGTTCTTTAATGCTCTTCATGATCTGGGGACGTAGCTCAGTCACAGGGTGCTTGTCCAGCATGCACAGACTGATCAAAATCACTTACACAGCTAAAAATATCTTTTACTAAAATATTGTTTCTTCATTAATCATTTATTGCTAATTTCATTTCTTCATGGTCTACGTACGGGTTGCTATTATAACTACATGACTTTAAAACATTGACTCTCTTGCTGATTAATACTTATCCTAAAAGAGAAATACTTATCTTTTAAATATAGTTATTTTGTTTAACTGAAGGAAATTATTTGAAAAGTTCTTTTTTCCTTGTTTTTACAATTCTGTAGCTGATAAGATGATTGGAGTTGCTCAAGTGACAATTTCAGCATTTACATCCTAAGAATTATTGTATACTTTCAAGAAAAATGATTGTTTTCAGTAAATAGTAAAAATCATCTTGCATACATATAAGGGAACTCTTTCTGAATGAATTATTCTTCACAAATAATGGCAGGCTGGGAAAGTGAACCAAGATTATACGTATTTACGTTTGGTTTAGCTTTATTGACTCAGGTTCAAAAAACAACTTTTGAATTGTTTTTGTTATTTTTAGTTTCAGAAGAACCTCATTTTTCAGTGAGGCAGCTTCATTTATTCATGTAAAAGTCAGGGAGAGATCTGAAACTTTCTTGACATTTCTGTAAATGAAATCTTCAATCCCTTTCCCAGTTGAATGACAGTCCCTATGAAATCATCAGAGTTGCTCTCAATAAAGTTTCTAACACAAAATGTGTTTCCTTCATCTAATTTCGTCTCTTCATGCTTTATTAATTCATGTAATTCAGCCATTATAATTAAAGACAGTTTGAGAAAATTGAATGTAAAAGTACATTCGTGAGTGATTTGGTTTTAAAATTTGACAATGCTGTATTTTATGTGGAATTTATTATGTCAGTATTTGAAATTATTATACCTTAGTATAATTTCAGTGTTCTAATGATAGAACTTTGTCTATATATATTTATAATATAATTTATAGCTTCTTACTATTTCAGGAAATCTGCATCTAATCTGAACAATGCTGCTCAGAGAATTCAGATGTCTTCTGCAGATTAAGTGCGTGGAGGTATTCCTTTCTCTGATACTCTTGAAACTCACCTACCAAACGCCACATTTAGCAACAACTGAAGAATTATAACTTATATCTCAAGCTATCAACCTGGTGGGTGATTGGAATAAATAGTTCCTGTTTTCTCTTCCTTTTATGGTACATTTCAAAAGATACTGCTGTTTCAAAGAAGAACAAAAACACAATGTGAAGCTTGCTGAGTGATAGTAGCAATGACCTTAGATGGACAGTTATCAGGTGTCAGACACTGACTATGCTTTTACAAGAACTGCTTCACTTAATTTTGGTCACATTAAGACATAAATATAATGTTTGTTATTTAAATATGAAAATATTTAAGGCTGGTATATGAATAAATTAATTTGGATGTAAAAAATTTGGAAATGGAAAAGGTATAGGATTCCCAAGAAGCAGGATCATTTAAGAATAGTTTGAGAAGTTCACACCTAGAATTAAACAGAGCACAAAACTGGAAGGAAATATTATAAGCATTCACAACCATAGTCACAATTTTAGTGTCCCCCTGTTAATAACTGTCAGATGCAGAAAGTCAGTGAGGAGACAGAACTTGAATTTGCTTAATTAACCATTAGAGAATACTTCAGCCCATAACTGAAAATAGTCTTTTCATATGCCCAAAGATACACTTGCCCAAAGACATATTTATGTCTAAATAAAAATAATAATAATCTTAAAGATTTCCTATTGCTTAGACATGTTTTCCATCCAAAAAGTAATTACTTTAGTTACAAATTGAAAGACAGAATAGAGGGGCTGGAGAGATGGCTCAGCAAGCACTGACTGCTCTCACAGAGGACCCAGGTTCAATTCCCAGCACCCACATGGCAGCTATGAACCATCCTTAACTCCAGTTCCAGGGGACTCCGAAGCCCTCTTCTGACCTCTGCAGCATTGCATGATGTGGGTGCACTCACATACACGCAGGCAATACACATAAAATAAAAAAAATAAATAAAATATTTTTAAAAAATGAAAGACAGAATAAAGGAATTAAACAATATGCCTTTAAAAAATTCCAAGAGGTTGCTGATCAGATGGCCTCCAGTACCATATGCTCCATTTTGTTCTCTTTCAGGTCAGGCTGGGACATACTACAAATGATAACACCCAGCAGAATGAGAGCAAGAGACTGAGAAAGCGAGAGGGAGAGGTGGAGGGGGAAGGGGGAAAGGACAAGGAGCGGAAGAAGGAGAAGTGGTGGCAGTGGAGGAAGAGGAGGAGGAAGAGCAGAAGGAGGAGGAGGAGGAGGAGGAAGAGCAGAAGGAGGAGGAGGAGGAAGAGGAGGAGGAGGAGAAAGAGGAGGAGGGGGGACTAGGAACTGGAGAGGCATTCAACATTACAGAACTTTTCTAATGGCATTGTGAAGCTAGGCAAGCTGTCAAGAAGACTGGAGCACTAATGTACTGTATTTCTTCTTTCAGAAACTCAGTTAAGGGAGAACTCAGCTAATTTCTTGATTCCTCCTCAATTCTTATTTACTGACCAAGGCTTGTATTTGGTGAAAATTGTTGTAAGAAGCTGAAATCATCTTTGAACAATAATAAGGGCATGAATTTCCAAGTGTCAAACGGACTTATGAAACAGTGAACGTTCACCTAGAAGGACTTCTAGGAAGATGGCAGATGATACCCAGTATGATCTTCCAGAATTTCCAGGGAATAGTTTAAGCAAAGCTAAAAATAGCTATCAGAAAGAAGGATAGGGTAGTGTGGTTTGGACTGAATATTGCTAGGTCAATTAGAAAAGTAAAATAAGCACATTTCCAAAGCAGGAGAAAAAGTTTAGAGCCAGTCCTGGAAGGATTGGTTGAGTTTGCAAGCCCCCAACTCTCAAGAGAGAGGGGGAGTGCTTGCCCAACACAGCATCTCAATTACTGGTGCTAGAAAGCACCTTTGTGTAAGCTAAAATCAAAGAACAAAATCAAGATGAACTCCCTCGTTCAGTTACATCTCCACAAGACAATAAGGCACGTTCAGTGGACACACAGATGTTGGCACTTGTTCTCATGAACAAGTGAGTGAAAACAGCAACATAAAAACAAAAAACCCTGCAGATCTCTATGGTGGAAATCATCAACAGCCTACAAATACAAAAAAAGAGGGAAACATTCTACATACATGTAGGGCACTGTATATGTATTCAAATATATACTAAGATAAAACAAAAGAAGGAAAATTTGTTGTTGATCTGTGGAAGATAGCAAGAGAGAGGGAGAGAGAGAGAGAGAGAGAGAGAGAGAGAGAGAGAGAGACAAGGAAGGGAAGGGAAGGGAAGGGAAGGAAGGGAGGGGAGGGAAGGGATGGAAAGGGAGGGAAGGGAAGGGAAGGGAAGGGAAGGGAAGGGAAGGGAAGGGAAAGGAAGAAGAGCTGTTGTAAGTAGAGCACTCAGTGGAAGCATGGAAAGATGGGGGACAAAGTATAATGTATAATGATACATATATCTGAAAATGCCATAAAGAAACCACAAACCATTACCGGACTGGCAAGATAGCTCAACAGGTAAAAGTGTTGAAGAGATTGGGGGGGCGGGGGAGAAAGGCAGAGGAAACATCAATTGATGATAGCATGAGCCAGAGAGGCTTAGGAAATCTGCACTGTTCGTAGTAGCACTGAATATTTTAACGAGCTGCAGAAATTCCACACCCAGGGTAGCAGTGACAATAGCAAAAGGAGACACTGGAAAAACACTTTCCTAGGGAGATGTGACATGCCTGACACAGGGACCCATCCGAGCTGAAAGAAAAGACCATTTCCTAAAGATCCCAATTGAATTTACAGCTAGACAACCTGAAAACCACATTCTCAGGTAATTCAGACCAAGTGTCAAGAGCTAAACTGTGAAGCCTGGCTAGCAGAGTACTACTAAACTACTTGACTAGGTAGAAGAAACTTAATGTTCGCCAATGCCACAATCAGCAAGCTGAAAATCTGGTGAGAACCAAAGTCTATAGGGAAATTCCACACAAGCTCCAAGAAGCCTGACATGCTCTGCTCCTGCCTTGTATTTCTTTTTTCCCTTTCTTCCCTCCCTCTCTCCCTCCTTCCCTCCCTCCCTCCCTCCCTTCTTCTCTCTCTCTCTCTCTCTCTCTCTCTCTCTCTCTCTCTCTCTCTCTTTTTAAGCATTGTCTTCCTGTAGCCCCAGCCGGCCTGAAACTCTATGTAGACCAGGTTGGCTTTGGTCCCAGAGATCTATCTGCCACTGCCTCCTGACTGTTGGAATTAAAGGCATGTCCTACCATGTCTGGCACTATATTGGAAGATAGGAAGAAAGACTGAAAAATACTATCTTCAGGACATCATATAACTTTTGCAGTAATGATTCTGTGAAGCCCTCCTCTTTGGCCCTCCACCCTGAGCTCCTGAGAACCCTGCCCCTCTTTAGGACTAACTGCTCTTTTTTCGCTTCTGTAAACTGCTTGCTTGCTTAGCTGAAAGGACAAACTGTATTGACCCCATTTTGACTAGCTGTTTCAGGCAAGCCTGGACATGCCCAGGCATGTTGTAATCTCCACCTACCAGCCCCACCCCAGGAGGCTATAGATTAAGCAAGCCCAGGTATGTAACAGCCTTATAAGGTTGACACAGAGACTTCTGGCCCCACAGATAACAGTCAGCACATTCCATAGCTCTGAGGGTAGCACCCACCAATGAGAAACCTCCAGGACTGCATCCCTTATAACCAATCAATTCAAAAGTGTGTTGGCGCACCGCAGGCTCCTTGGACCAATCAAAGTGTGACTCTGTTATTCCCCTCCTACCTTTGTCTAAAACCTATAAAGTGCTTCCACCCCCTGTGATTGGGGTTCTCAGCACAGATCCATTGCATTGGTGAGGTCTGAGAGTCCAAGCTTAAGCCCGAATAAAGACTCTTTGTTCTTGCATGCCCTCTGGATTCCATTACTCTTGGGGATCTGTTCTCTGGGCACAACAATTCCATTAGCAGCTGAGCTTGCCTCCTTTGGGCCTGCACAAGACCAGGCCTGTTAACAGTCAATCATGAATCAGAGAGGGGCTCATGGAGCCCTGCTCCTTGCTGCTAACTATTGGCTGTGGAACAAATGTCTCAGGGATGGACATTTGTTGTTTTCAGTTGTTGTGATGGTTTGAATGAGAACATCCCCCCATAGGCTGAAAATATTTGGACATTTTTTTCCCCAGTTGGTGGTGCTGTTTTGGAGGTCTTAGAAGGTGTGGCCATGCTGTAGGAAGCACATCACTGGGGGTGGCCTTAGAGAGTTCTTAAGCCATGTTGGATCTTGAGCCATGTTGGATCTCTTATTTCCTGTGCCTACTTGAAGATGTAAGTGAGCTCTCCGCTTTGTGTTCCTGCCATCTCCTGCCACCATGTGCCCTCCCCTCCCACCATGATGGACTGTAATAAGCTCAAATGAACTATTCCTTCTATAAGTTGCTTTGGCCAGTGTTTCTATAGCAGGAACAGAAAAGTAACTGATACAGTTGTGTACCTAATGGTGAGTCTACAAAAGAAAAAGATAAATGTGTAAAAGATGTAGAGATGAGAAGGGGATGACCTAGGTGAGACAGAGACAAGAAAGGCTGGGCTTAGAGCAATCAGAATGCTTTATAAACACGGAATTGTCTTAGAATAAGTTTAATCCATAAAAAAGGAGAAAAAGAGAACATATTCCACTAAATGAGAAATCTAAAATAATGGACAAATTTAAGATGATATAAATATTTAAACAAATTTGCAATGAGCAACAAGATTGGAGTAGTAATAAAAATCTCTTAAATCAAAAAAGTCCATATGCTAAATTCTACTGGAATTACAAAAAGATAAACACTAATCCTTCTCAATTATTCCATAAAGCATAAAAGTAAGGAACACTCCCAAACTCCTTCTATGAAGCTAGTCTTAAGCTAATACCAAAACCAGATAAAGACACAACACCACCACAGAAAATTATAGAGCATTCTCCCCGTTTAACATCAGATGCAAAAGATCTCTATAACATACTAGAAAAAAAGATTTAAAATATCAAAAATTTATTCAATATGATCAAGTTGCCTTCATTTCAGAGATACAGGAATATATCAACACACATAAATCAATAAATATGATGCATCCTAAAAGTGAACCCAAGGAAAGAAATCTTGCAATTTTCTCAATAACTGAAGAAA